TGGGCAACGAGCTGCGCGCCGCCTCCGAGCCCGGCCAGGCCGTGCCGGCTCTCCTGCGCGCCGCCGACCTCCTGGCTGCCGCCCACCTGCCCCTGGAAGCCGTGCGCTGCCTGCGCGACGTCGCCTCCTGCCTGCTGCTCTGCAGAGACCACGACGGCGCCCTGGCTGTGCTCACGCAGGCCCAGCTGCTGGTCCAAGGCGGCGCTGGACTGGCCGGACCGGCGGCAGCGGCCCCAGCCTCCTCCTCCTCCTCGTCGTCTCCCGCTAGCCTCCCGCCCGGCGCCTTCCTCGACGAGCTGCTCCACTGCGAGGTGACCCGCGTCCTCCTCCTCCTCCTGCTCCAGCCGCCGCCCTCCAAACTTCTGCCTGAGCACGCGCAGACCCTCGAGAAGTACTCCTGGGAAGCCCTGGATGCCTCGCCTGGGTACCTGCCGCCCGAGCTCTTCCTGCTGCTGCAGTCGGCGGTCATGGCCTGCCAGGAGAAAGACCTGGAGGCGCTCAAGGTGCTGCAGAAGGAGCTGTGGCCGCTGCTTAATGCCGAGCAGAACCACCTCGTCCATTTGGTCGTGCAAGAGATGATCAGCCCCTCCGGCCAGGGATTCTGATGAGTGACACGTCCCTTTCTGAGCGTGGGGATGTTGACACTGCCCCTGTGACTGTGGGGCAAGGTCTTGTTTTTAGGTATGGATGGCGTTCAAGGAAGTTTGCTAGTCAGAGCTGATCCTAAGGAGTAGTGCTTCCCTTGGCCCCGCCAGCCAGCTTGCCATAGTGGTTTTGCCTTCCCTCTGTACCTGAATGCTACAGACTCTTCATGCTCCTACTCGCCCCTCCCCTCCTGAATCTATTACACCCTCTTTGCCTATTATGCCAATGGTTAAGGACTTGAAAGAACCACATCAGAACCCTTAGTATTGTCCTTCAGCCAGCATTTCCTTTTTGCCTCCAGAAGACACATCCTTTAGTCACATGTGATTCTTGTATCTTGTTGTAATTTTTATATCTTATGTATATTTTCTCTTTGGAAACATGGTCATACCGGGTTATCACACTATCAACTTTGGGGTAGATGTATATATTTATTTATTTAGAAAACTTTGGGTAAACATCCTTAATGTCAGGAATCACATCTGCCTGTTTCTTGTGCACTTCATTTGTTCAAAGATAACATATGTAAATAATTTTAAAGTGGCCAAAATGGGACCTTCAAAAGTTTTTCCCATTAAAAACAAATCTGAAAAATGTACCGCTGTTTTCTTTTGCACTAGGTTCTTTGTCAGGGTTTCTTGCTTGAAAAATTCCTACTTTACCCCTATTGTTTTCTGTATTACAGCAGCATTAACTGAACACTGTTTCACTGATTAGAATGGACAGATGAAAATAAGCTTGTTGAAGCAGAAGAAAAATAACTCAATGCCTTCACAAATGAAATCCTAAACATGTTTACCCAATGAAACTTACTGGTGTTGTGTCTGTAATACTTTGCAGCCTTAAGAAGCAACTCCCTCTGTGACTTCTGAGTAAACATGCTTAGTAGCACCATGCTAAGTAAACTTAAGATTGTAGCTTTACTATTCAGTAACTACACTCACAACTTAAGGATACTAACCTCAGAAACGTACTGAACCAGGTTTCTTGCTCATTTTTTTTAGTTTCAGAGTAGAATAAAACTACTGGTTGCGGACTGAACCAGGTTTCTTGCTCATTTTTTTAAGTTTCAGAGAATAAAACTACTGGTTGCAGGTAGTGGTGTACAGGTAAGTACTGCTACAATTCAGTTACTGCATTTTCAGCACAGTAAAATATACCTTTTCTCTGTACTTCCCTTGTTGTGAATTTTTAGAGTTATCTCCTATTGCTTAATTGTGATAAAGGCCAAAGTAGACATGAAAGTTGTGTGTGTTTAAACGTAGAACTGTCCCAACTGACTAGAAATGCGGGCTGAAAAGGTGGAGAAGATTCAGTGCACCCCACCCATGTGTATATATACCCTCCACATTATCTTGTTTTTAATGTGACTGAGGGAGTTCTTTACGCTCATGGAACCACCTCACTCTTCCTTATAGCTTGATCTCTCACATATACTGCCTTGGAAATATGTTCCATTTATGTCAGGGGATGTCTAAGTATCTTTTAGGATCACATTTTTAGTGACATTTTACTGATTTACTTAAAATGACTTAAACACTTTAAACCAGTGCTTCTGTTAACCTGAGACCGGCTGTAGAGTAGAAACGGACAACAGTAACAGGGTTCTCTGGAGTAGCTTTAGGCTGTCAGGCAAAGATTCCCTCTGGGCTTTTACCCTTCGTATCAACTCAAGACACATGAAAATAAATGTCATAACTTGCCCTGTTCCATGGGCCTGCTGTAATTATTTCCCTCTAGTCTCCCCCTCCCCATAGTCCTGCTTAGTTGTATATCAAAGGCACTTTCAGAGTCTGTTTTGAATATTATTTGCACAGCCATTTTAATGCTGGAATTCCCAAGGTGCTGCAGTTTTTGGAGGCCGTGTAGTTGAATAGTACTATTGCTCGAGTTCTAGACAGTAAATGTCGATGAGCTAAAACATCTGATTGAAATTAATCTGGAATATCTGGATTATAAAACTACAGCAATAAGGTCAAGAAGAGTTTGTTCAAGTCTTCATGGTTGGCATTCCCCTACCAGTTTAGCATCCCAATGTATTTTTGTGATCTAACAGTCTGAAACATAGATGCACTTTTATACTGGCACGTCTCAACGCTCTACGATCTGCAGTCTTGACATGTAGATATGCTGGTATTCTGTATTCCGAGGGAACAGGTAATTGTAACCTTAATTGCATTGAATTCATTGACCTTGTACTTTTAAGCTGCCATGAATTTTTAAAGTTTAGGAGCTGATTCTCACCCTCCTTAGTAAGGACTCTGCTTCTCCAGCTGTGGAGACTTCTAGGCTACTGAGCAATGTAGGTGGACGGGTTACGTATAAGGTTGCTAGATTTTGGGCTGCCATTGTAGAAACATGGAAACATTCTAAAACAACTGCACAAACTCTCATTCTGCTGGGGAGGTCCCATTACGTGGGTAGCTTTCCATTAAGGTGTTTAAACATGAACTCTCAGCGGCTGTTCGGAACCACTGGGTCGAATGAACAGTAATAGAAAAGAAAGAAAGGACCAGTTAGGTTATTTGGGAAATGTTCATTGTGTTCAGAGGACCTCTCTTCGTCCGCTCTGGAGGAGCTGCATCCTGGAGTTAAAGCTAGGAGATGTGATCACTAGAGGCTATAATCCTATGTACACTTGGTGGCGATGGAAAGTGCCATCAAATTAAAGGTAAAGGTTCCCCTTGCTCGAAAACCAGTCGAATCCGACTCTAGGGTTGCGGTGCTCATCTCCGTTTCAAAGCCAAAGAGCCAGCGCTGTCCGAAGACGTTTCCGTGGTCATGTGGCCGGCATGACTAAACACCAAGGCACACGGAACGCTGTTACCTTCCCACCGAAGTGGTACCTATTTATCTGCTTGCAGTTCTTGCTTTCGAACTGCCATCAAATTACAGCCAACTTAAACACCCTCATAGGGTTTTTAAGGCAGGGGACATTTAGAGGTGGTTTGCCAATGCCTGCCTCTGCATACCAACCCTGGACTTCCATGGTGGTCTCTCGTCCATATACAAAGCAGGGCGGACCCTGCTTAGATTGCGATCAGGCTAGCCTGGGCCACCCAGGTGAAGGCTGTCTGCACTTACCAGGGAGTAAATCCCAGTGGAATTTACTTTCTCGTAGAAAAGAGAAGAGACTGGATTTATACCTTGCCCTTCACTCTCCAAAGGAATCTCAGAGCAGCTTACAATCTCCTTTTCCTTCCCTACAACAGACCCTGTGAGGTAGGTGGGGCTGAGAGAACAGCTCTGAGAGAGCCACGACTGACCCAAGGTCACACCAGCAGCTGTATGTGGAGGAGTGGGGACTCAAACCCGATTCTCTCAGATTAGAGTCCGTGCCTCTAACCACTACACCAAACAAATTGGTTTTCTGAACTCTATAAGCATTCTTTCCTCTGAACTCTAAGCTATAAGCATTCTTTCCAAAGTCCAGGTGTGGTTGAACGGGCCTGCTCTGGTCTGCAGGCCCTATTCCACCCTGCCCTCCAAGGTTTTGCCCACATCTGGAGAGGCTTTTCTTGCTTGGGTAGCCCACCACCACCATCTGACCTTTGTAAGCATTGCCCACTGGGAGGGTCAGGACTCCCAGTTTCCCTTCCACGATCTGAGGCCTTGCCTCTGTGTCTCTTGCTGCCCAGCGCCTGGTTACCATGGAGACGGTTTATTGCCTTGCATGCCTTTGGAGGAATAGCTGCTTGTCAGCTGCCTGCCACTTCTTTTAAAATAGCTTGTCTGAGATGGTGGCGATATATGTGGTACAGTAAACCACTACCAGCTTCAAGAGTCACAAAGTATTTATTTTAAAAAAATGTTCACAAGCATACTTTTAGCACAACACCAGATTGAGCAAGGGATTCCAAAAGAAATAGATAAAATGCAAATCCTCTGTTCCCCCTCTCTATACATGCCCTACCAGTTGTTAAAATATGCTCTTTAGCTTTAGGAAGTTACAAATCTCTACAGAGTATCAATTACCTTGCAGCTCTCTCCCAGCTCTTCAGGTGAGCACATGGTCAATGGCTGCCTTCTCAGGTAAGAGTTTTGTCTGCTTTCATGGATCCAGCAGCACCCAAGGAAAAGAGAGCTCCTCCCTGCAAGGAGTTTTTATCACTTCTCTTTTCCCCACCCACTGGCCAGGTTAGTGAAGTGTTTCCTGCAGCTTCTTCCTGGATAGTATTCCTGGAGCTTTTCTAGTCCTCCAACTCTCTGATTCCTGTTTGGAGAAGGGGGAGAATTTGACCCACCCTTTATCTCTCCTGTTAGATCTATTAGCATTTGTATGAAAGTAAACTGCAAAGCAATTGGACTGCTGTCCTCCTTTTCCTGCCTGTTCTCTGCCCAGAGGGAGAACAAGATTAAAACTCAGCTCGAAAGTTTTGGCTCACTTCAAACCTTCAAAGAAAAAATGCATTTCTTCGCAGCAGGCAACAGGATTTTTTTTTCTTCCTTCTCCCACTCTAATTTGAAAAGGACTTGGCTCAGTTTAAGAATGCCGAATCAGCGAATCAGAGCTGAATCTTGCCTCTGGTTAGGAGTCAGCTTTCTGGTATAGAGATAGAAAAAGCTAGCTGAACAAATGCCACTGTGCTCCAGTTTAGAAGATCCCTTTTTACCAAGGGAGTAATTAATGAATTATCATAGGACAGTGTGTATAGAATAGCCAGGAGAACCTAAGATTTTCTGGCAGCCAGAAGTTCTAGCTCTAGGTGGCAAGCTGGATTTGTTTTTAATGCAGGAGCCATTTTCAGAGGTGGTTTTGCCTATTGCCTGCCTCTGGCATCTGCCTCGGAGGGTCGCCCATCCAAATACTAGCCAGGGCCGACCCTGCTTAGCTTCCGAAATCTGACCGGATGGAGCTAGCCTGGGAGTGGAAGTCTGCAAAGCCGACCCTGCTTAACTTCCGAAATCTGACCTGGGAGTGGAAGTCTGCAAGGTATTTTGACTGACATGCAGAGTATTTCAGTAAATTGCGAGACAGCAGTTGGGAAACGCAGACATTGTCCATGGACAGAAAAAAGGCTACACCCAACTTGAATCTCCATATTAAATTGGGCATAGCAGGTGGGGACGCCTGGGTAGTGGTGTTAGTTCTGTCCTTTGGCCGTCCCTGAGGAAAACCCAAGATTCTCTGTAGCAGCAAAGTGGAGCGCTGCTGGACTCCTTTTTAACTCTGGGTACTAGAAAGCAGGGAGCTGCGGTGGCTCAAGTGGTTAAGACGCTGAACTGCAGGCTGTGGAAGTTCAGCAGTTCAAGACCCGAGTGTGCCGCAAGACGGGGTGAGCTCCCATCTCTAGTTCCAGCTCCTGCCAACCTAGCAGTTCGAAAGCAAGAAATTGCAAGTAGATAAGTAGGTACCACTTCGGTGGGAAGGTAACAGCGTTCCGTGCGCCTCGGTGTTTAGTCATGCCGGCCACATGACCACGGAAACGTCTTCGGACAGCGCTGGCTCTTCGGCTTTGAAACGGAGATGAGCACCGCAACCCTAGAGTCGGACTCGACTGGCTTTCGAGCAAGGGAACCTTTACTTTACTAGAAAGCAGACTGGGAAACGGAATCAAGTTTTGTCCCGGAACAAGGATTGTGGTGGGAGTCGGGATGGGAACCTTGACAGTAGCCTTCTTGTGCCCGTTGTTCCCCCGCCCTTCTGCCTTTCTTCCTATTTCTGGGGTTCAGGCTGCCTGTTCCTGGTGATATGCAGGGCAGTTGTGTTGCGTGCTAAAAGTGTTGCAACAAAACCGACAGGAGTCTTTCCTGACCCGTGGAATAAACTTTCGCTGTCCCATGCCCGTTTCATCAAATGCATGAACATATATTGGGGGGAAGTGTATTATATTGTTTTAAACTAAATACTTGCACAACGTGATTTCGTAGAAGTACGCACATACTGGCACACCGCTGCTTGTATTCTCGAATGGAAATGCTGGATTATACGTGTTGTTTTTTTTTTTTTAAAGTTAACAATAAACCAGCTCAGGCTAGACAAGGATCCTACTGCACGTGATCGGTTTCCCTTTTTTTATAATGAGCGCGGCAAAGAGGACTGTCGCCATTCACAACTAAGCGACACCAAAGAACCACCGCCGTGCGTTAGCCCCTAGCGCCTCCCCCTTTCCTTTCTCGACGGTGCTTTCCCCGCCCATTCAGAGACTCCCGCGCGGTGCTTGTGGGGAGGAGGAAGGGGCGGGGAGCGCCTTTCCGGTCCGAGCAGGCTGGCGGGAGGGCGCGCGTGAGGCAGCGCGTGGCGCGGGCAAGATGGCGGGGGAGGCAGGTGGGTCTCTCTCCTCGCGCGCGCGTGTGCAGGGCCAAGCTGGCTGCAGCCCCTCGGAGACGGAGTGCGGCCCTCCGCCCCCTCTCGGCGACCTCTCCTTTTCCCGCGCGGCTCGATTCCAAAGAGAGGGCTAGAGGCCCAGAGCGATTAGTGCATAAGTACGTAAAGGTGCCTTGCGTGAGGCTGGGGCAGGGGGTGGAGGGGGACTCAGTCCTGCAGGGATTTCATGCTTAGGTTGCGACGGTTTTAGGAGTTACTCCCCAGTGCGTTTGGGGGTGGGGTGGGAGAATGCCTTGTGTGTGTGTGTTCAGAGGCAGCCCCTTTATCTGGCGAGGGTTCGAAAAAGGAGCGTTTAGGAGACAAGATCCTCGTTGCTCTGAAAGTCTTCGCCGGTGGGGGATCTCCCAGAGGAGGAGCCTGATGGGAGGACGGGATGGTGGCTTTTCCAGAGTGTCTCCTGCTTGGGGACGGGTCTTCATCTTGCAGCCAGAATCGCTCCTTGGCTGTGGAGAGCTTTTTATATGCTATTACGTGTATGGGGTTGTCGTTTCGTGTGCAGAGAATCACAGCAACGCGACCAGGGGGGAAATACATTTTTATTTATGCAAGGTAGTCACCGCTATCCTCTGCGAGGCTCTACACAGACGTTGTGCTATCTGTGTGTGCAAGTTCTGCATGAATACCTGGTTAAGGGGCTTACCCAGCTGTGGTAACTTCTGTACTGGTGCCTGTTTAGCCAGAGATTCTTTCTTTGCTCCACGTGGTCTCAGCCGCACGTGGGCGGCAGGGGTTGCTATCCTCTGCGAGGCTCTACACAGACGATGTGCTATCTGTGTGTGAAAGTTCTGCATGAATACCTCGTTAAGGGGCTTACCCAGCTGTGGTAACGTCTGTACTGGTGCCTGCTTAGCCAGAGAGTCTTTCTTCGCTCCACGTGGTCTCAGCCGCACGTGGGCGGCAGGGGTTGCTTTCTGCAGGGCCTGGCCTGCTATCGCTTCACTGCTGGCATTGTGGGACCCACGCTTTCACCTTGGTTTCTTTCTCCCTCGCGGCTTGAAATATTGTCAGTTTGGCTATCTTGGTGAAATAATAGAAGATGGGTGCTTGCACTTGGAGAGAAAAGTAGAGCCAGCAGTGACTGAACAGGTGAGGGCTGCTTGTTGCTTGTGAAACCTGCACAGGTAGGATGCATTCTTCAAAGTAGGCTAGTTTGGCATTTGTTAGGGGTGTTATAAGGAAGAGCCTTCTCAGTCACATCAGTATTTGGTGCAGTATGTCCTGGCGGTTTTCACTATCACCATGAAACTTACGATTCCTGCTGGGTACCTTTTATAAGGTAGATGGAGCTGCTGAGTATGTTCCAACTTTTAAAATTAAGTGGGAGTAACAAAGGCGAGAAAGAGGTGCTGTTGAAAGGGAGTGTTATTAAATCACTGTTGAAAGACCGTTTTGCTATTGATAGCCCTAATCTCCTGTGCAGTCTTTTCACGAGTTATCTCTTTTACTGTGCTGATAAGCAGTTTTGTCTTGGGCACTTTTTAGTAAACTGAGAGACAGCATGGTTCAGTGGTTAAGAGTGGTGGACTGTAATCCGGAGAACTGGGTTCGATTCCCCACTCCTCCGCATGGAGCCTGCTGGGTGACCTTGGGCCACTTTCTCTCAGAACTCACTCAGCCCCACCTACTTCACAGGGTGCCTATTGTAGGGAGAGGAGGGGAAGGCAATTGTAAGCCGCTTTGAGACTCCTTAAGGTAGAGAAAAGTGTGGTAAAATAACCTACTCTTCTTTTAGTAAGCTCTAAGAAACATTAATTGTACTTCTCATTTAAGTGTACCTCAGTAGTATTGCCAAGTTGATTTCTAAGCAATTCTAATGACAATTTCCTCTGGAGATTTCTGACTGTAATCTGTCTTTATTTAGGCTCTGTTTCTAAGAAACACAAGAAGAAAAAAGAAAAGAAATATTTGCCGGATGAAGATGTTGCTGTGAGTTTCCGTGATTGTTTAGCATATTTGGTTTGCAAATAAACTCCATACCCTGTATATGGTGGCAGATAAAAATGTTGTTTAGTTGATTGTGTTCTTCCTGAGCTGATGCTACATTTCTGCAGAGTTCAAATATGAGCATTGATGGTGTATCATTGGCAATTAATATATCATTAACATATCAGCCAGTGAGCCACAGTCAGAGACTGTGGTTTGAATAGCCTTTATTCTTTCTCCAGGGGCTCTTGCTCCATAGGAACAGGAAAGCAGAGCTGACAGGCAGCCCTAAACTGCGGCTTGCTTTTATTGGTAGAAGCTCAAACTTGGCAGCATATTTGAGCCACTGATTATTATGCTCCTCTGTGGCCCTATATAGTATGCCCCATTTTTCATTTTGTGGCACAGTAAAGAAACTTGAAAATTGAAGTATTTAATATTTATTTACTCTTTGTGGACTCTCAGTGTACAGTAGCTTCCGAGTTTCCTGACAAATGAGATCTATGACCCTAAACACCTTTACACTTACAAGCCATTCTAAGCAATTCTAATGACAATTTCCTCTGGAGATTTCTGACTGTAATCTGTCTTTATTTAGGCTCTGTTTCTAAGAAACACAAGAAGAAAAAAGAAAAGAAATATTTGCCGGATGAAGATGTTGCTGTGAGTTTCCGTGATTGTTTAGCATATTTGGTTTGCAAATAAACTCCATACCCTGTATATGGTGGCAGATAAAAATGTTGTTTAGTTGATTGTGTTCTTCCTGAGCTGATGCTACATTTCTGCAGAGTTCAAATATGAGCATTGGTGGTGTATCATTGGCAATTAATATATCATTAACATATCAGCCAGTGAGCCACAGTCAGAGACTGTGGTTTGAATAGCCTTTATTCTTTCTCCAGGGGCTCTTGCTCCATAGGAACAGGAAAGCAGAGCTGACAGGCAGCCCTAAACTGCGGCTTGCTTTTATTGGTAGGAGCTCAAACTTGGCAGCATATTTGAGCCACTGATTATTATGCTCCTCTGTGGCCCTATATAGTATGCCCCATTTTTCATTTTGTGGCACAGTAAAGAAACTTGAAAATTGAAGCCTTTAATATTTATTTACTCTTTGTGGACTTTCAGTGTACAGTAGCTTCCAAGTTTCCTGACAAATGAGATCTACGACCCTAAACACCTTTACACTTACAAGCCCTTCTGCTTTGTAAGATTTTCTTCTAAGTACTCTTACGATCGTACAGTACAAAAAGGAGATCTTGCTTGGAATTGTGGTGTCCTGTACATAACTGTATTGCACTGCTGAGAAATTTGTATATCACTGGCTGGTGCTTCAGCCCTTTTAGAGGTAAATAGTCACGAAGAAATGTTGTTTGCAAGAGAAGCACCTGGCATTTTTGTACACGAATCCCAACTATTAATCTACATGCTCATTTACCCCCAGGATATACAGTGCACAGAAGAATTCCTTATCAAGCCTGAATCCAGAGTGGCTCAGCTGGACACATCACAGTGGCCGTTGCTTCTCAAGGTAAAGAGCGTACAGAGTAGACTGTTCATTTACGGAACTTAATGTTGACTGTTTTATGGGGAAAGTGGGCAGGTGATGCAGTTACTGATTCAGAGTCAAGTTCCAGGCAGTTTTCAAAACTTTATATATTTATATCCTTGATTTTGCTAGCAAAGAAAAATTGTGACTCCTGGTGGAGAGCCAAGTCTTTGGTGGCTTTGTAGTTTTGTTTTGTTTTTAAAAACAAATTTTATTGCTCAGATATATCTACATATTCAAAAATACGGTGGCTTTGTAGTTTTTGAAAAGGGTTAAGCTACTTGTAGCTTAGTGCAGACTCCCTCATCGCTCATGAAATGTCAACCTTTCACTAGGTAAAAACTAAACCTCCTTGCTGGCAGAGAGAATCTGAAACCTGTATGGTTGTAAAAAGAAGGGGGAGGTTTCAGTGCTATGCCCTGTCTTCTACAAAAGGCTACATAGCAGTGTATAAGTGCTTTTTGTCTGCTTTGGGTTTTGTAGAACTTTGACAAGCTGAATGTGAGGACGGCACACTACACGCCCCTTCCTTCTGGCTCTAATCCTCTAAAAAGAGACATTGCTGAGTATGTAAGGTAAGGTCCCAAGGAAGTTCAGTATATTCCCCACCCCAGGTGATTTTTCTGTTACTGTTCCTGCACTACGATGTAGAATTACTTCAGTCTCCATCAATGCAGGAAATAGTGTATTTTCTATCGGAGTGCCTGGCTTGGGGATGCTGGGGGGAAAAGCACTAACGACATTATATTTCATTCTCGCTGTTTTAAAGTTACTTATCCTGCTTTTCAGCCAAAGATGGGAGCTCCCAATGCAGGTTGCAAAGTTTAATATATAAATTTAATGATTGGAGAGGCAATTCTTAGGCCTGGATCCTTGCAGGGGAATACTTGGCTGCTTTCTCATTTCCCTCTAGTTTCAGCAACAGTTGCAGATGGGGGGGGGCCTTCCAGCTGGAGCTGGGCACAGTGGAAAGGTCCCTGACTCTTTATTTTCTTCCTTTGTTGTCAGCTACATCTCAAGAAGACTAGCATTTGGGACAGTGGCTCAGAGGCTGCTGTGCCATATAATCTACTGGTACTGATAGTATACCATCTAAGATGACTAGTCATGTTAGTCTGTCTGCAGCAGTGGAAAAGAGCAAGAGTCCAGTAGCACTTTAAAGAACTGAGCTTTCCAAAGCTCATACCCTGCCACAAATTTTGTTAGTTTTTAAGGTGCTACTGAATTCCTTGTGGTATACCGTGTCCTCCTTTCAGCTTCTGCAGCAACCTGTTTTTGGCCTCTGGGGACAGATAGTTATCACTGCATGCTGGTTGCGGAGCATTCCAGATGCACAACGGAACTGGGCTCATTAGCGGCTTTAATTAATGTGTTTATCAATCAGTGTTTCTCTTTTAAAGGGTTGTGGGAAATGTTCGCTTGCTGTTCGACAGGCTAGAAGCAGGCCGGGCACAAAACAGCAAGCTGGCCGATCCGCCAGAAGTCCAGCATTGAACCCTTTGTGCAAAACTAGTGTCACAAACCTGTCTGAAATCCTTGGCTGCTGGTATTACAGGCCTTGGGCTGTAAGATACGTCTACAGATCTGATTGGTACCATTCACTACGGTTTTGTCCTAGGACGGGCTTCATCAATCTGGATAAACCCTCCAACCCTTCTTCCCACGAGGTGGTGGCCTGGATCCGCCGCATCCTTCGAGTTGAGAAGACCGGACATAGCGGCACACTGGACCCCAAAGTGACAGGGTGTCTGATTGTATGCATCGAGCGAGCAACACGCTTGGTGAAGTCTCAGCAAAACGCAGGTGTGTCATCTGCTTTATCTCTTTTCAAAGGAAGGAAGTGTATCATTAGACGCTGAAACAGCTTGATGACCCACATGGTGGTGGAATAGTAAAATTCTAGTGGCCCCTCCTGACTACTCTTTTGTCGTCTTCCAGGCAAAGAGTATGTGGGAATCGTTCGGCTGCACAATGCAATTGAGAGTGAGGTTCAGCTTTCAAGGGTAAGTCTCTGCAAGGCAGGGAATTGAGCTTCATTTGCCCGCTCACTATGCGTAGGTGTAAACATGAACTCAAACTACCGTCGATGACCCAAAGGCATACTAAATTTATTTGGGGGCGGCGGTTGGTGCAGGTTAATCAGTTCGTGTGAGAGGGTTAGAAATGCGTCTGAGTGTCTTAGGAGTGGCTATAAGATAAAGTTAATAAAGTTATAGCGGACGCTGTGTGTACTGACATTATGTCAAGCTGCAGAAATCAGACCGCTCAGAACTTGCTGTGGTTGAGCCCTTTCAAATGCCTGTAGTTTCGCTTCCCAACGAGGTAGTAGGAGGGGCCAGTAGAGAATCCAGACCTCCCTGTGGGAACTGGGAACTCGGGTGTAGTTTTAAACAGTAATTCTGAGAAGTAAAACTCAGCATCAGGTATGGAAACTCTGACCTGGACGGCCCAGGCTAGCCCGATCCCATTTTGGAGGCTAAGTAGGGTCAGGCCTGGTTAATACTTGGATGGGAGACCACCAAGGCAGTCCAGGGTTGCTATGCAGGGGCGGGGAATGGCAAACCGCCTCTGTTTCTCTTGCCTTGGAAGCCCTATGGGGTTGCCACGTCAGCTGCAACTGTACGGCACTTTCCCACCACCACCCATCCTTGCACAGGGATATGTGGAATCCAGACTTAGTGGCCTGTAGTGAATAAGCTTTCCTTAGGAGAACAACATATATTTGGGGATATGTGGAATCCAGACTTAGTGGCCTATAGTGAATAAGCTTTCCTTAGGACATATATTTAGATTAAACTCTAGTTTCATATTTGGTATTGCGCGAATCGCAATTCAGATTCTTTGCTTTGAGGTTGTCTTTTGCTGTGGGGGTGCTCTGATTCTGGGGTTTTGTAGGACACAGTTGGAGGCCTGTCTGCAAAGTCATGGAAAGGCTTTCTGGGCCTGTGTCACATGCAGAGTGACGGTGCTGTTTTATCCATTCACTGAGGGCCACCATTCCGCCCTGTCCGCAGCATCTGGATCCCTGTTCTAGGCTTCTGGTGCTGTTGTAGCCTCCAGCCACCTTCCAGCATTCTGCTGTCAGTTATATGGGTGTCGCTGCTTGCAGGGAGGAGGTAGAAAGCAGAACTGAGGACCTTTCTCTTGGGCCTCTGCCTCCCCCTGGATGAACAGTGCATTCTGACCACTGGCAGAATCCATGGAACTTCTCTCCTTGCTAATTCCCGAAGGCCTCATTTGTAACCCCAGCAGCTCTCAGGGAGTCACAACAGACTTGGTGCAGTGGCCTCTAGGAACAAGAAAGCTGGTTAGACAGTGTGGAAGAGATAAGGCTGCCTGCATAATAACGTGGTTCTTAAGCTGGTGTTTGTAGAACTGGGTTTGCTTAATTTGACCTCTGTTCAGGGTTTCAGGCAGCCTTGTCTTGTCTTTTTGATGCCTCAGAGGGAAGCACTTTCCTGTCTAGAAAGTAGTCAGATTAGTTTATGAGCCTGGATGTTAGCTGGCAGTGGTAAAAATGGTCTTGTTGTGTTTTGGGGAACTGTGTAGCATTGGCAGGTTGCTCATTGGTCTTGTTCCCACATGTAGGCAATAGAAACACTGACAGGGGCCCTCTTCCAGCGGCCCCCCCTCATCGCGGCAGTGAAGAGGCAGCTGAGAGTCCGAACCATCTATGAGAGCAAATTGGTCGAATATGATCCTGAAAGAAGATTGGGTAAGGAGAATGACCAACCCGCTGTTTTGAAGTGAAGATGGGGGAGATGGACAGTTACTTCCTTTTACTGCTGGTCAGCAGGCATGTGTCTAAAATCATAGTTTTAAAAAAAAAAACATATTTCAAAGTCAGCCCTTGGATGAGCTTGTAGAGCTTGGTAAATGACTCTTCCCATTCAAGACTGGGCAGGAGGCTCTACGTGGTTATAATAATAATAATTATTATTAGCTTAAAATCTGAAAGTCTCACCCTGGGTCCTTTAAGCTTAGCTAGGCTTCCAGATACAAGCTTTTTGTTAATTTCTTTGAGCATTTCCCCCCCTGAGCCAAATGATGTAAAATAGATGACAATAGCACGCTGTGCAAAGATGACTCCCATCTATCACCCAATGCTGATGGCTCTTGTAGGCGCATCTTGCTGGGATTGGGGTCTTTGCAAAAACAACAGGACTCTTTGACTTGGCCATCTGCTTTTCCTTCGTACCCTGTTCTCAGGTATCTTCTGGGTGAGCTGTGAAGCTGGCACCTACATCCGAACCCTGTGCGTCCACCTGGGCTTATTGCTGGGTGTCGGAGGGCAGATGCAGGAGCTCCGGCGAGTCCGCTCTGGGGTCATGGGAGAAAAGGTACGTTGTAGAAGGGGCCAGCATGTCTTTGAAGCCCAAGGTTGTCTCCATCCAAAGTGTTGAGTTCAGTCCAGGGCTATGTCCCCTGGTCTGGTAATTAAACTTTGGGACAGCATGTAGTTGGGAAGTGAGGAAGGTAGGGAGTTTACATTCTTGCCAGCTTCCTCTCTTCTTGCCCACACAGTTGCCTGACAGCCTATTGAGATCAATTGCATGGGCTCCTTGGCTATACCTAAAGATGGATATAGCTAAAGGATGAAAGAAGGAGAAGAGAGAGAGAAGAGGAGATTGGATTTATACCCCGCCCTTCACTACCCAAAGGTGTTTCAGAGCAGCTTACAAACTCTTTTCCCTTCCCCTCCCCACAACAGACACTCTGTGAGGTAGGTGGGGCTGAGAGAGCTCTTGACAGAAACTGCTCCTTTTCGAGAACAGCTCTTATCAGAACTATGGCTTGCCCAAGGTCATCCAGCCAGGTGCAAGTGGAGGAATGGGGAATCAAACCCAGTTCTCCCAGATCAGAGTCTGTGCACTGAACCACTACACCAAACTGGCTCACCTGAAAGAAACCCAGGCAGCAGCAGACTTCCACTGAAACCCCGTGACTCTAGTAGAGAGCAGTTAGGTCATCGCCATCCTCTGCTGTGCTTGCACCACTTACCCCTTTGGCAAGGAGGGTTGGAATTATGAAGCCTGCAGTAGTTCTGTGGGCAGGAGAAGAGATGACAGCCACCGATGCTCACCGTTCATGAACTAGTGACTCTTTTCTTATGAAGGTTTATTTCCCTTGCAGTTTTTGGGGAGCTATGGGAAGATACCATAGATCAACCTTGTTGAACCTGGGGGCACATTGGAAATTTTTTTAGAGCAGGTAGTAGGCACAACAAAATGGCTGCCATGAGGTGGATATGGCCAGTTACAAAATGGCTGCCATGGGGGAGGTGCTGTGACCAATCTCAAAATGTTGCAATGTTCTGCAGAACGTTATGAGTATGGAAGGACATTAAGTGAACCATGAAGCAAAATTTATCACGAATTTTGCCCTGTTCGGGGTTTGCAAACAGAAGTTCATGACATGTCTACCATCATGAATTTCCACTTACTTTTAAAGCCGTTTGTGGTGGTTCATGGTGGTTCACGGATGGAGTAGAAAGCAGGGGTTTAAATTAACTCCCTTTAAATCCCTGCTTTCTGTTCCCTGCAAAAGCAGCTCAGCTGTTTTGGGCTCTCTTGTGCCGTCCCCTTATAAAGGGACTGCACAAGACAGCCTGAAAAACAGCTGAGTTGGCAGGGAACAGTGTCCCCACTGGTCAGCTGCTCTGGGCTCTCCTGCGGTCCCTTTAGACAGGCTTGCTTAAAGCGGCTGCACAAGGGAGCCCAATACAGCTGAGGCTGTAGAGAGAAGTCTCTCCACCAGCCAGCGTCAGTCTCTTTTGTGCAGCCCAAAACAGCTGACTGGTCGGGAGATGGATCAGCTGTTTTTTAGCTGTCTCCCACAGTCCCTTTAAAGTTTAAAGGGACTGTCCAAGATGGCCCATAACAGCTGAACGGCAGGGGAGCAAGCTGTTCCCCATAGCTCGTGGTTTGGTTCGTGGTTCAGCTATGAACCAAACTGCATTTTCCCAGTTCATGCCCATCCCTAGTTAGGAGGTTCCAACCAAAACACCTTCGTATTATGGAAGCAGCTCTTTCTGAGTGGGTGCTGTCTCCAGATACAAAGGCAGTGCCTCCCAAGGTCTTCTGGAGTACCTCCTGCTCTGGTGTGGTGGAAGAAAGGCAGGATGGGATCTTCATTTTAATTAATGTGAGTCATTAGCCTGTTGCAGTTGACTCTCCTGTGCACATTGGCTTAAGTGTGTGTGTTCATATTTGCCCCTGCCCAAGTTCCTAGCCTGCTGTTTTATGGTGATGTGCTAAGTGTACACACACACACATACCATACTTCCATTGGATCTCTCAGAAGCTCTAATGACTGTTTGCTTCTAGGACCATTTGGTGACCATGCATGATGTGCTGGATGCTCAGTGGCAGTACGACAACAACAAAGACGAGACTTACCTCCGGAGGGTGATCTTCCCCTTGGAGAAGCTGCTGACGTCCCACAAGCGGCTGGTTATGAAAGACAGTGCGGTGAGTGCCCGGAACCTCCTGTTGGTGGCATCTCAGTGTCTTGCAGGCTTATCATGTTTTCATTAAGGAAATTGACTGGGAGGTGCTTTCAGGCTGGAGAAGTCAAATACTGTGTCTGCCTTTCATATCATTGGTTCGGTGTTGCTGTTTGTTGCTGAAGGAATTCTCTTACGGAACCGGGGGGGGGTATTTACAGTGACAAGGGTTGGGAGCTGCAAGTTAGCTACTTTGCAGAAATAAATCGTGGCAAAGGCATGAGTGTCAGCGAAGTGTCTCGTTACGGTGCTCTTCTAGCAAGCATCTTGGTCGGGGTGTGCAGTTCTTGGCTTCCGTCACACAGAAGGTCATGAGCTGGATTCGAATCCAGTAGTAGCACCTTAAGAGACCAGCAAGATTTTCTGGGGTATAGGCTTTTGGGAGTCTGTGTCTGATGAAGGGAGCTTCACCTCTCGAAAGCTTATACCCCCAAAATCTAGTTGGTCTCTTAGGCACTATTGGATTTAAATCTAGATCTACTGCAGACCAACATGATTATCCATGGCAAACAAAGGGCACGTTAATTGAAAACAGTGGAAATAGAGGATGTTACAGTGACCACCCGCTTAGGGAAATCTGCTGGAGCTGACAACAGTGAATAGACTTTATTTAATGTATGTCTTGCCCTCCCTGCTGAAGCAGGCTCAAGGGTGGCTCAAGTCTCCTCCTCTGCCCTCCCGTTCAGGTGAATGCTATTTGCTACGGTGCGAAGATCATGCTTCCTGGTCTGTTGCGTTACGAAGACGGCATTGAGCTCAACCAGGAGATAGTTGTCATCACCACAAAAGGAGAAGCCATCTGCACAGGTGAGAGGTCAGCCGGCACCTCTCCTTCTAGACTCTCACAGTGTTTTAGCGGGAACTCGGATGGGAATGGCACTTCTCCGAGGAGTGCCCTCTGAAACTGCTTCACACCGATCATTCATTGTTTCCACTAGCCCGGAGCTGTGTTCCAGCTGGAGCTTCTAGGCAGAAAGGTCTTTCCCAGCCCTGCCATATTAGATCCTCAGGCTAAAGGTTCCAGAGATTGAACCTAGGGCTGCCTGCATTCAAAGCAGGGGCTCCACTCATGAGCTGATGGGCCTGTCCTATACTTACATGAAAGGGTTGCCTGAACCACTAGTCTGTTAGGGTGAGAATCTGTGTTCAGAGGAATATCTTTTTTTCCCCCTTTTTTGCTGTGTTCTTCAGTTGCTCGAAGAGTGTCTTAAAGACTCTTGAGAGCTTTCTCTCCCTACTGAAAATGCTCTCCTGTCAACATCCTCTTCATCTGTGCAAATTGTGTTCAGAACTGGGAAGGACAGCAGTTTCCACGGGAAATGTCAGCGATTTAACATTTAATGTGGCTCTGGTGGCGCAGCTGACTAGCACTGATGGCACTGGAGTGACACCTAGTGGTAGATCAAACATATTGCGTATCTACTGCTGTTAGGTAAAAGGTAAAGGTTCCCTTGCTCGAAAGCCAGTCGAATCCGACTCTAGGGTTGCGGTGCTCATCTCCGTTTCCAAGCCGAAGAGCCAGCGCTGTCTGAAGACGTTTCCGTGGTCATGTGGCCGGCATGACTAAACACCAAGGCGCACAGAACGCTGTTCCCTTCCCACCGAAGTGGTCCCTATTTATCTACTTGCAATTTCTTGCTTTCAAACTGCTAGGTTGGCAGGAGCTGGAACCAGAGACGGGAGCTCACTCCGTCATGCGGCACCCGGGTCTCGAACTGCTGAACTACTGACCTTCCACAGCCTGCAGTTCAGCGTCTTAACCACTTGAGCCACCGCAGCTCCTATCTACTGCTGTTACTCATGGCTTCTTGTTGTATGGCCCTTCAGAGTGGGAAAGTGGCCAATGCGTTTGGTGAATAATAATGGTGTGGATGCCTGTCCCTGACGAGCAACTGCAAAGGGGCAGTTAACCTTTCTACCAAGCAGACTTACCTTCTCGGGGCCTGTATGAAAGCTTTGAATGGGCGGGGAGGGCAATGGACTGAGGGTGCAAAGAGGAGTCCATTAAATCCTTGCCTGGGTGGCAGGGCTTCGTCTGCCCCCCCCCTGCCCTTGGAGGGTGTGTGAAGTGATGATGAAGTTTATCCATTCTCTGAGTGTTGCTGCTCTGCCCTTCCTGCCCCATCCAGGTCCCTGTTCTAGGGTCTTGATGCTTTGTGGCCTCCTGACTCCTCCTAGCCTCACAGTGTTCTGCTGGGGGTTCAGGGGGTGGCTTGGGGCTGCTGGCAGGGCCTGGGCAGAACTAGCAGGGCCAGAGCCCCTTCCTGTGGGGCTCTGGCTCAGCCAGGAAGAATGAAACTGTCTGATCACACACTGCTCTAAAGTGCCTGTCTCTGATGACAGACAAGTAATGAAGGTGGCAGGGGGGACATTTGCACCTATTCCGCTTTTTTAAAAAAATCCACGAAGATGTGTTCAGGGGTACACTTTCTACACCTAGTCGTTTCTATGCCTTGCTTTTCTCCCCAGTGGAAACTTCCTGTCCACGCAGCACCCTTTCTTATACTTTCAGCTTTTGTCTCCTGTCTTCCAGATGGCAGAAACTAATTCGTACCTGTAAAGATCGCCCAGGGCGCAAGAGTTTGCAGCCCAGTGCCTTGGTAGAGAGTGTATTTATAACTTTGCTTGTGGGAAACTGAAGCTGTTCATCATTGAAATTTCATAACTGTGCCAAACCGTGTAATTCTGCATCTTAACCAAGCTATAAATGCGTTTTATCTTGTTAAAGCAGGGTTTCCCAGAAGTGCAGGGGTTTTTTCCTCTCGTGGCTTCTAAACTCTGGTGTTTGCACGACCTGCTGTAACACAGAGGTAGAAGAACCCATAGGCTTGCTCTTCCCTCAGTTTAGTGGAGGATTGACCAAGTTTTGTCAGGCTGAAATAGCTGCTTGCATGGACATGGCCTGAGTTTGGGCGATACAGAAGGCTGTACTGCTTTCAGACGTTGCTCCTCTTCCGGCAGCCGTTGCCCTCATGACGACTGCGGTGATCTCCACGTGCGACCACGGTGTTGTGGCGAAGATCAAGCGTGTGATCATGGAAAGGGACACTTATCCTCGCAAGTGGGGGCTTGGCCCGAAGGTGGGTCTTGGGGGTGGTTTGGGCCAACTTGCCTGCAGCTGGGGTGGCAGATTACAGAGAAGGAGGTCTTTGGCTCGTTTGCTGAGGCAGGGGGTCTCAAGTGATCTGGATTTCAGGAGCTTAATCAGTCATCTGGTTTCTCCAGTGTTTTAGGCTGCATTAAAGGCGTTGCTTGGCCTGCTGGCTGATCACTGTTGTGTCAAATGCCGGGTGTCTGGCTCCACTCCTGCTTTGGGCTTTTTTTCTTTTCTTTTTTTTTATCAAGACCAAGGTCTTGACTGCCTCATTATCTGTTAAACTAGTTGGTGCCCTGGCTGTAGCTTTTGCTTGTGGGTCTTCCCTCTGTGCTGAGCCACATGATGTCACTGTAGACTTCTTGAGCACTCTGTGCAGAGATGACACTCATCTACCACCCCAGACTGATGGCTCCAGTACAGACAGAGCAGGCAGGATTTGGGAACCAGATTCAGTGCCCCGGGGCAGGCTGGGATAAATTTCTGCTGACACTGGGGATGCTGCCAGTCACTGGGCAAGATAAGGTTGGGGGGTCCTTTTCCAAGAGGATATCTGTTCTCCGTTGGTGACTGCAGAGACGGGGACAATGTTCGGGGCTGCTCTTGCAGGCAGTGCCAGAGCAGCTGGAACTCGTCGGGTGTGAGAATGGGCTGCTTTACCACAAAGCAATAAAACAGAGGGCTGCGTCCAGAATCCACCTGGGTAGTAAGATTTGGCAGAACAGTTTGCCAGTCCTCACATGCCAGTTTTATGGCAAGTGTCCCCCTGGGTGCAACAGTTCATCATCAGCTGGTGGTGTTGAGCAGTCCCTCCGCTTGCTCTCTCTCCAGGCATCTCAGAAAAAGATGATGATCAAGCAAGGTCTGTTGGATAACCATGGCAAGCCGAACGACAAAACTCCACAATCCTGGGCAGAGGGCTACGTGGACTACAGTAGGTAATGTCTGCTGTTCCTTGCTGCCTGCTGTCGCCTTGGCCCTCCATTCCCCATATGACATTTTGGGCCTCTGAAGCCTATCGTGTTAGTGAGGACATTGGGCGTGCATGGGGGGGGAGCAAGGGCTGCTCATTGTGAGTGAGCTGAGCAGGCAGTTATCCCTTTTTAGCCTCCTTCAGTGGCTCTAGAGGGAGTCAGCCTGCTAAATGAAACTGGGGGAAGCTGCTTCCTGCCCCATTGCGGTTGGGTGTGGCTACCAGCTTTCTGTACATCAGACTGTGCAGGGGTTTCTTCTTTTTCAAATAAAAGTGAGGTGTTGAAGGAAGGTCAATAGGTGCTGTGTACAAGAGTAGCAGCTGAAAGGCACCAACCAGGTTCTCGTTTCTTCCCAGGGTTGTCCCTAAGGAGGAGGTAGAACAGGAAGTTGTCCAAGCGGAGCCAGAGAGGGCACCAAAGGTTTGTTTGTTCAGCATCTTGTTCCTTTTTTCATGGGACTAACAGTTGGTATTACTATGAGTCTGTGGAATAGAGATGAAAGAGTCTTCATGCCTTGCAAGCTGATATGCCAAGTAGGATCACTCCTTGGAAAGCACAATCTGGCCATGGTAAACTGTTCTCCCATCATTTCTAGGGTAGACTACTGTAATGCGCTGTATGTGGGCTGAAAATATTTTGGAGAGGTCAGTGGGTCCAAAATATTACGTAGGGGGCGGGATACATTGTGTCTCACCTGTGCTGAAAGATCAACACCGGCTGCCTGTCTCTTTCCAGGCCCAACTAAAAATTCTGGCCCTAGATGGCTTTGGGGGCAGAGTTATTTGGAGGACTACCGGCTAGGGGTGTGCATTCAGATCTACCTGAGCTGAAAATCTACCCCAAAAATACCTTACTGATATTTGGGGGGTAGATTTTGGCATCCCAAATGTTATCCAGGCTTTCTTGGGAAAACAGAAAAAAAAATTATGGAAAAAAATCCCAGATATATTCAGGAATTACCAGATAGATACAAAAACAGAGGCTCCCACCTCTCAGCTATTTGTTGGGCTTCTACTGCAGTCCCTTTAAAGTTCGAAGTCCCTTTAAACTGCAGAAGTTAGCCCCGGGACCTGCTGTGCCACCAGCAGCAGATTGCTGCCCGCAGGCTGGGCTTTGCGCTGTCTTCTCCCGCCAGCCCAATTTAAGACAGACAGCATGAGAAGCACGCCCAGCCCCAGGGAGCAGATTGTTCCCTGCCGGCTCAGTTTTGCACTGGCTTCTCGTGCAGGAGAAGCCCAGCCCCAGGATTGGGTTGGCTTTTTTTAAAACAAGTGGTATTTTTCTCTCGGGTCTATTGGATCTGAACATTTTTTGGGATTTCCAAAAACATCCCAGATCCCAATACCTTCACCAGTACTGGGATCCGGGATTTTTCAGAAATCCCACAAATTTTTCAGGTCCAATTGTCCCGCACTGAAAAAATACTGGTTAAAAAATATTGCCCACCCCTACTGCCGGCTCCCATCGAGTCCAGTATGACGATCCTCCCCCCCAAGCCTTGTTCTCCGTGTCCTGTCTGCAGAGGCGGCACAAATGGCAACCAGACACAGGGCTGTTTTGGTGGTGGCACCTTGGCTTTAGAATGCCTCCCTCTTGAGGATCTCCCAGCCCCACTTCCATTACTGACCCACTGACAGCGGCGGGGCCCCAAAGCATTAGGTTTCTTTACCCAGGCTTTTAACTGTGGGATTCCATCCTTTAAAGCTGTTTTTATGGTCAGCTTCTAGCTTGAGGATTTCCCCATCAATATTAATTTAGGCTGCTGAATGTTAATGCTGACTTGTTTTGAGCAATCTGACCTCATTTTTATGATTGTGTGGCTTTTTATTTTGCTTTGTGAGCTGACTTGAGGAATTCTCCAGAGAGAAGGCATACACATTTTCTTCATAAGAGAAGGGGTTCATCAGCTAATTAATGCCTTTGGATTAGTTGTGTCCCTAAAAGAGCTTCCAACAGCCTGTTGGTATTTCAGGAAAAAACACCAGAGTTTGTGTTGTGTGTTTGGCATTGGCAATATTTTGTTTGGGTAAGTCATTGGGCGTGTTTAGAGCCACAGTGCTACCAGACATTCGGAAGTGCTTTTGTACAGACAGTCGCTTCTCTTCCAGTTAAAAAGGTACATAAGAGGGTCTCGGGCTAGCCTCTGCTACTCCAGCTGTTCACAGACAAGCCTGTTAAGGAATAAAGAAATGCATGCTGCTTGAGCAACCCAGTGATAACCATTAAGCTTCTGCCCTGAAGGAGTACACTTCTCAAATGTCATTTTGCAGGGCTGGTAACTGATCCCTACAACATGACCTTTGAAACCCTTCTGGAGTTCGGTCATAGTCTTCTGTTCTTGGAAGTAGAGCAGATGTCATACGCTGGAGATGTTTTTGCACAAGATGCAAGTTCTTTGGTGTTTCTGTAGCTGTACGAAGGAGGGGAAGATGATCTGAAGAAAAGGAGTACAGTGAAAGCAGTGCCCCTCTAGAACTGCCTAAAACGTTTCTTCCGTCCTGACCACAGTGTGTGCCTGACAGATGTTTTTTCCTTCTCTTAGAGAAAGAGGGAGATGGAGAGTGACGGAGAACCTGGAGAGGAAGCCTCTTCTCCCTCAGCTTCTCCAGAGCCACAGGCGGAGATCAAGAAGAAGAAGAAAAAGAAGGAGAAGAGGAAGGTGGAATCTGCCGAGAGTAGCAGTGAGGTGACTGAAGTGGTACGACTGTTTCTTACATAATCAGTTGAAGGAAGCTCTTGATGCCAGCAGTTACAAACGGGAGAATTCCCAGTTCAAGGCTACTAAGGGCTGGTTCAGGCATGTGTATGTGCTTCACCTGGTCCCACTACATCAGGAGTGGGCAAGGAGGTCACTCGTGAGACACCAGTCACTCTCCAAGGTATTAAAAGTAGCTCTCCGGCCCTCCTTCATTACTGCTGCTTTTCTTTAACGCTATTGCAGCAGCTTCTCTCCTCCCTGTCTTCCATGAGAAAGAGGCCCACACATGCACACACACAATCTTGCTCCGGACCGGAAAGAAGTGTGAGAATGTGTCTTTTTTGCCTGCATCAACATTGCCGTTTGCCTCTTCAAGAACAGAAGCAGCTGCGTTTTCCCACCCAAGCCCTGCAGCCCTGCTCTGAGATCTAGTAATTTTTGTACAAGCCACCATTTTGTGACTGGCTCCATCCACGGAGCTATCATTCTGTGAACGGCAGATCCCTTGAAAACAAAATACCTTCTGGAAACATATATAGCCCTTCCCTGCTGTCCTTTATAAATGGTTCCTGAATGTGTGAACTGGGTCCCGTGATACGGCATTGGATTTTGAGGTGGCACGAATGTTCTCTACCTTTGGCGGCCCATTCACATATGCAAGCCATCACTTTCTGACAGGCACCAAGCGAAGACCAAGCCTGTATGAACCAGCCTGAAGTCTGCCTGGCTCTGGTAGTAAGGGGTGTGCGGGGCAGGGCGGGGCTCCTTTGTAGACCGAATGGAAGGCATGCTTTTAAACGTTCTTAATTATTAAGGCATGCTTTTAAACGTTCTTCGTTATTTGTAGCAAGAGGCTGGCAGAGCCGCTGGCCAGTAGTCTTGAGCCAGCTGTGCATGTGCTGTGATTGCCCCTCCCCAGGTCAGCGACACCAGTGCAAAGAAGAAGAAGAAAAAGAAAAAGAAGCAAAAAGAAATGGAGGAGAGTTCGGAGTAACCCGCTAGAGCAGGCAGCCTGGACCATCTTGGGAAGGAGGAGTCTGAAAGGTCGTAAAGGAAGCAGCAGACCGGCTCAACGTGCAGAGACTTGGCTGCTCAAATGTATCGTGTACCTGGCAAGCCCCCTCCGTCCTGTTGTAAGGATAGCTGGAGGAATTGGGGCAGCAGAGCTACCCGGCAGACGGTGCTGTTTCCTGAGGAGGAATGGCTGTGGACTTGGGAGGCCTCCTGTATGTGGGGAGTGGAACAAAAGGAAACTTGAATTTGACAGCACCTGTAGAGTCTCCCTGCTCTCTCCCCCTCCCCGTTCTGCATTTTCGTCTTTAATATCTGCTGGATGGCCTTGGCCACTTTGCCTGTTAGTGGGGGCAAAGAGCTTAAAGGAGGGGCTTTTGGATGTCCAAATGATCAGAAGCTCCATTATTTTTAATGCTTTCCTGTACGCTTTGACTCTCTAATGAATTGAGTCCAAACATTTCCCTCTCAGGGTTCCTTTTTTCCCTTTGTTTTTTTAAAGCAAATAACTCCTTTTGTGAGAAAGAGCATAAGCTTTGGTCATGACATAGCTGTGGTCTCATTTCCTTTATCTGCTAGCTCCCCTTTTCTTTGGCCCCAGACATCTTCGTCCATTTGTCTGGTATCTTCCTGTTCTTGTTGGGACCAGCTGGCAATGAAATCTGAAGCTATGAATGGACAAAGTTTGCTCATTGGCCAGTTCTGGCCCCTGAACAGAAGCAGGAGGAAACTTGAGGTCTTTTGCTGGCTGAAGAGGGGGTGGGGAGGGAGTGCAAACGGATTCCCCTTTGCCTATCTGCAGAGGTTGCTGTCTTCTGAGCACTGCAGTCCCTGTCTGGGGCTAGGGTCATATAGGCCCCTCTATTCCCCCCCCCATTGCTTGGCAGAGTACCAAAGTTTGGTTTTAAAAGGAGGCAGTGTTCTTTTTTATATTAAAAATACAAATGTGTGTTTCTGCTACCGTTTTGCATATCTTGTTGCTCAGTTTCCCAAAGTCTGACTTAAGAGAATATTTTTGCTGAAAGAATGACACAAGTTGCCGATTGCCAGGGTGCCAAAACAACATGGTCAGTCAAATATCCTGTTAGGGTTCCA